CCTCCTTTTTTTTTCCAGAGAAAATGTGAGACTGAAGTAAAACAGAAAAAATAGAGGAGGAGGAGGAAAGGTTGGGACAGGGGCAGAGGAGCCTTGGTGGCTTGTTCAAATGCACAGTAATAACTATTATAGTATTTGAAATGGCAAATATATATTGCAATATATTTGAAACTAGTTGCACCCGGCCAGGCGTTGCTGTGGCCCAGTCTGGCTAAATTGCAAAGAAATACAATAGAAAGCTCACTTGTCTAATATGGTTAATTTCGCAATCATTGTCTGCGCAGATAGTCTGCTTTCCAACTCTAAAACACGCAACATAAAATTGTGTCCTAATATTAGTGGTCGTTTAAAGTGTATTTGTAAGACTGAAAAAAAATTTTTAATAACTTATCACATGCTAAAGCTTTTATATTTTGTCAAGAGATGAAAGAAAAGCTTGCTACTGTTCTTCTAAATAACCAATAAATTCGCAAAGAAGTTCAAAAAAAAAAAAAAAAAAAAAAAAAAAAAAACTAAAAAAAAAAAAAAAAAAAATAAACTTTAGAATAGCTGAGGTAGTAATATTAAAATTTAAATAATTGAAAAATGAAAACTGTAAAGTCATGTTTTAAGCTCTTTCATTAACAGTTTCTGTCATCAACCTCCCCTTCCCCTTTCTAATCCACCGACTACTCATCTCTCCCTCTCCGAAGAACCGCATGGATATTGCTGTAGACACAGACTTTTCAGGTTAGGATGTTTAACTTTGCCCCCGACAGAAAAACTCTATCACCTTTACTAGGGTCGGACATGGGTCTCCCGCATGACAGTCCGACGTTGTAACCACGCGGCCACCAACTACTACTAATCTGTGACTACTACCACTGCTACTGCTATGAGCAGATTAATCTTGCAGGCAAAGCGGTTACTGTGACTTCCCTGACATGGGCAGTAGTGATGTCATTAATGTCATGTGAGATGCACATCGCGAAGAAGATTGTGTCGATGGTGATGGATGTGGAAGTGCAGCCTGGAGAAGCCTGGCAATAATATTTCGCCAAGGGCAAGAGTTGTCTGAATAATCAGCACAGAACGAGCGTCATTAGTGGTTTTTCCGCTTGTGGAGCTATCCAAGAAAAGATCTGAGAACCTGTAGATCTACCCGGAATGCAGTGATGATAGGCCTTACTAATCAGTATTCTATCATTCCCATATCTTATTATTACCATACAGTCTTTTCACAAGTCTCTTCTTATTCCCACAACTATTTATTCCAACGTGTTTTTTTTTTTAAAATTCCCACGTCTTTACATTTCCAAAGTCTTTTAACAACTCTTCGTCCTCATAATTTATTATCTCAAACAGCTTCATGCAGATTTCTGAGATGAACAGTCAAAGTTCGCCTACAGGCAGAAATAAAGACGAGGCAACGAAAAAAAAATCATATCGCCGGAAAACAAAATCAAGATGCCGATGTGATCGTCGCTGTAGCTATATAGCGCATGCTTAGTACGACACTCTTATATAAAAACATGCGAGGATTCGAATGCAACACTGTGTAAAAATTTCAAAGCAATCAGTGAAGAACGTTCGACATGCTGCTTCAGCCAGTTTCTGAGGCCATCAGTCAAAGTTCCCCAATTATAGGAAAGAATAACCTGTGCCAGATATATCAAACAAAAAGATAGCAAAGGAAAAAATTACTTGACATAAGTTAGCTGAGGGATCTTTGTTCCGTTTTGCGATGAGTAGCAAAACAAGAAGAGGAAGAAGACACTCTGCAACCACACAAAGAGTAAATGTCGTCTAACTTACCCGAGGCATACACTGGGAACGTAGCTATAGGGTAGAGCGCCTTGTCGACTCCCCATCTGCCGTCTCTATAGGCGTACTTATCGCCAGCGTACATGTGCCCCGTGACAGAGAACTCCAGAAGGTGCTCGTTGACAACCAGCAGATCCACCAGCAACGGCACGTTGACGAAAGTATCCGCGTCCACTTTGAGGAAGAACTTGGTTCTCGGGCATTGCGTCTGTACCCAGCGAAGCGTGGACATCAGCTTCAGGGTTAAGTTAAAGTAGGAATCCTGCATATCTAGGTACAGTATGTCCCCGTGTCTATTGGCCTCGGCTTGGATCAGTTGCATTTCTTCGGAACTGCCTTCGGCTGGCCTAGATCTATGCGCTAGGACGAAGAGGATTTCAAAGTCTGCATTCATAATAACGTGTGGCCATAACTTAGTTTTGGCCACGCTGCCCCATGTGGCACGGATGGCGTTGCGTTCGTCGAAGCGATCGGACACCGATAGCTGAAGTCCCAGTAAGTAAGGGCATGTGCTGACGCAAACTGCAGTCGGGGATATTATGACGTGTCGAATAAAATCCTGTTGAACTGTCTCCCGTAACTTAAAAAAATTCGGCGGCCCTCTCGGAAATAGCCGTTTACTCGCGGGCACTTCGATAAACAGTTTTGAGATGTTTTCTACTGTTGATCTGAAACAGGTCGGACATGACTTCCAGGTGTTTCTAACCACAGGGTCTTCGGTGCATCCTGAAGGTACCTTGCCCTTCGCGCTGGGACCCTCAGGTTTCGCTGAATGTGAACGGTCATCTGTACAGATGGTTTCTTGTCCCGTGCTGCTGTGGTCAAGAAGGTGAATGCACAGTGCAAACGTCAGACAGAGGACAACTAAGGAGAGGTAGAAGATTTTGGCTGTCACCTTCAGATCCCCTCTCCAGACGTGAATTAGCATCACTTGACTGAGCACACTGACCCTGAAACAAACATCAAGGCAGTGCCGACATTGTATATAAATAAAGGTGTTAGCTCAGGAACTAAAGAAATATACAGCTGTGAGATGAAGAAGACAATGAAGAGATCCTGACAGACTGCAAACACTTGGTGCTACCTACCGGAAAGAAAAGGCCAACCAGAGAGATGAATGGAGGCAGGTGATATTTGCAGCAATGAACCTCACGGGCTCGGAATGCTGAAGAAGGCCAACCAGAGAGATGAATGGAGGCGGTTGATATTAGCAGCAATGAACCTCACGGGCTCGGAATGCTGAAAAAGGCCAACCAGAGAGATGAATGGAGGCGGGTGATATTTGCAGCAATGAACCTCACGGGCTCAGAATGCTGAAGAAGGCCAACCAGAGAGATGAATGGAGGCGGGTGATTTTAGCAGCAATGAACCTCACGGGCTCGGAATGCTGAAGAATAAGAAGATGAGTTCACAGTTGCAGTGAGGCAGAATTGTACAATTGTTTTTGACACTAAAATGGAAATAGAAAGAAGGACATTTTCATACAGATCTACTGGCACTACTATACTACTACAGATCTCCTGGCACTACTATACTACTACAGATCTACTGGCACTACTATACTACTACAGATCTACTGGCACTACTATACTACTACACATCTACTGGCACTACTATACTTCTACACATCTACTGGCACTACTATACTTCTACACATCTACTGGCACTACTATACTTCTACACATCTCCTGGCACTACTATACTACTACAGATCTACTGGCACTAATATACTACTACAGATCTACTGGCACTACTTTACTACTACACATCTACTGGCACTACTATACTTCTACACATCTACTGGCACTACTATACTACTACATATCTACTGGCACTACTATACTACTACACATCTACTGGCACTACTATACTACTACACATCTACTGGAACTACTATACTACTACACATCTACTGGCACTACTATACTACTACACATCTATTGGCACTACTATACTTCTACACATCTACTGGCACTACTATACTACTACACATCTACTGGCACTACTATACTACTACACATCTACTGGCACTACTATACTTCTACACATCTACTGGCACTACTATACTACTACACATCTACTGGCACTACTATACTACTACAGATCTACAGGCACTACTATACTACTACACATCTACTGGCACTACTATACTTCTACACATCTACTGGCACTACTATACTACTACACATCTACTGGCACTACTATACTACTACAGATCTACAGGCACTACTATACTACTACACATCTACTGGCACTACTATACTACTACACATCTACTGGCACTACTATACTACTACACATCTACTGGCACTACTATACTACTACACATCTACTGGCACTACTATACTACTACAGATCTACTGGCACTACTATACTACTACACATCTACTGGCACTACTATACTACTACACATCTACTGGCACTATTATACTTCTACACATCTAATGGCACTACTATACTTCTACACATCTACTGGCACTACTATACTACTACACATCTACTGGCACTACTATACTACTACAGATCTACTGGCACTACTATACTACTACAGATCTACTGGCACTACTATACTTCTACACATCTACTGGCACTACTATACTACTACACATCTACTGGCACTAGTATTCTTCTACACATCTACTGGCACTACTATACTACTACAGATCTACTGGCACTACTATACTACTACATATCTTCTGGCACTACTATACTTCTACACATCTACTGGCACTACTATACTACTACAGATCTACTGGCACTACTATACTACTACAGATCTACTGGCACTACTATACTACTACACATCTACTGGCACTACTATACTACTACAGATCTACTGGCACTACTATACTACTACACATCTACTGGCACTACTATACTACTACACATCTACTGGCACTACTATACTACTACACATCTACTGGCACTACTATACTACTACACATCTACTGGCACTACTATACTACTACACATCTACTGGCACTACTATACTACTACACATCTACTGGCACTACTATACTTCTACACATCTACTGGCACTACTATACTACTACACATCTACTGGCACTACTATACTACTACACATCTACTGGCACTACTATACTTCTACACATCTACTGGCACTACTATACTACTACACATCTACTGGCACTACTATACTACTACACATCTACTGGCACTACTATACTACTACAGATCTACTGGCACTACTATACTACTACAGATCTACTGGAACTACTATACTACTACACATCTACTGGCACTACTATACTACTACACATCTACTGGCACTACTATACTACTACAGATCTACAGGCACTACTATACTACTACACATCTACAGGCACTACTATACTACTACAGATCTACTGGCACTACTATACTACTACAGATCTCCTGGCACTACTATACTACTACAGATCTACTGGCACTACTATACTACTACAGATCTACTGGCACTAATATACTACTACAGATCTACTGGCACTACTTTACTACTACACATCTACTGGCACTACTATACTACTACACATCTACTGGCACTACTACTATACTTACTACAGATACTACTACACTACTGGCACTACTATACTACTACACATCTACTGGCACTACTATACTACTACAGATCTACTGGCACTAATATACTACTACAGATCTACTGGCACTACTTTACTACTACACATCTACTGGCACTACTATACTACTACACATCTACTGGCACTACTATACTTCTACACATCTACTGGCACTACTATACTTCTACACATCTACTGGCACTACTATACTACTACACATCTACTGGCACTACTATACTACTACACATCTACTGGCACTACTATACTTCTACACATCTACTGGCACTACTATACTACTACACATCTACTGGCACTACTATACTACTACACATCTACTGGCACTACTATACTTCTACACATCTACTGGCACTACTATACTACTACACATCTATGCACTACTATACTACTACAGATCTACTGGCACTACTATACTACTACACATCTACTGGCACTACTATACTACTACACATCTACTGGCACTACTATACTACTACACATCTACTGGCACTACTATACTACTACACATCTACTGGCACTACTATACTACTACACATCTACTGGCACTACTTATACTACTACACATCTACTGGCACTACTATACTACTACACATCTACTGGCACTACTATACTACTACACATCTACTGGCACTACTATACTACTACACATCTACTGGCACTACTATACTACTACTACACATCTACTGGCACTACTATACTTCTACACATCTACTGGCACTACTATACTACTACACATCTACTGGCACTACTATACTACTACACATCTACTGGCACTACTACTATACTACTACACATCTACTGGCACTACTATACTTCTACAGAATCTACTGGCACTACTATACTACTACACATCTACTGGCACTACTATACTTCTACACATCTACTGGCACTACTATACTACTACACATCTACTGGCACTACTATACTACTACACATCTACTGGCACTACTATACTACTACAGATCTACTGGCACTACTATACTACTACAGATCTACTGGCACTACTATACTACTACAGATCTACTGGCACTACTATACTACTACAGATCTACTGGCACTACTATACTACTACAGATCTACTGGCACTACTATACTACTACACATCTACTGGCACTACTATACTACTACAGATCTACTGGCACTACTATACTACTACACATCTACTGGCACTACTATACTACTACACATCTACTGGCACTACTATACTACTACACATCTACTGGCACTACTATACTACTACACATCTACTGGCACTACTATACTACTACACATCTACTGGCACTACTATACTACTACACATCTACTGGCACTACTATACTACTACACATCTACTGGCACTACTATACTACTACACATCTACTGGCACTACTATACTTCTACACATCTACTACACTATATACTACTACACATCTACTGCACTACTATACTACTACACATCTACTGGCACTACTATACTTACTACACATCTACTGGCACTACTATACTACTACAGATCTACTGGCACTACTATACTACTACAGATCTACTGGCACTACTATACTACTACACATCTACTGGCACTACTACTACTACTACTACACATCTACTGGCACTACTATACTACTACACATCTACTGGCACTACTATACTACTACACATCTACTGGCACTACTATACTACTACACATCTACTGGCACTACTATACTACTACACATCTACTGGCACTACTATACTACTACACATCTACTGGCACTAACTATACTACTACACATCTACTGGCACTACTATACTTACTACACATCTACTAGCACTACTATACTACTACACATCTACTGGCATCTACTATACTACTACACATCTACTGGCACTACTATACTACTACACATCTACTGGCACTACTATACTACTACACATTACATGGCACTACTATACTACTACACATCTACTGGCACTACTATACTACTACACATCTACTGGCACTACTATACTACTACACATCTACTGGCACTACTATACTACTACACATTTACTGGCACTAGTATACTACTACAGATCTACTGGCACTACTATACTTCTACACATCTACTGGCACTACTATACTACTACAGATCTACTAGCACTACTATACTACTACACACCTACTGGCACTACTATACTACTACACATCTACTGGCACTACTATACTACTACACATCTACTGGCACTACTATACTACTACAGATCTACTGGCACTACTATACTACTACAGATCTACTGGCACTACTATACTACTACAGATCTACTGGCACTACTATACTACTACAGATCTACTGGCACTACTATACTTCTACACATCTACTGGCACTACTATACTACTAAATATCTACTGGCACTACTATACTACTACACATCTACTGGCACTACTATACTACTAAATATCTACTGGCACTACTATACAGCTACAACAGACTTACTACTACTGTTGTGCTGCTGCTGCTGCTTTAAATGATGTTACTACTGATGATGCAGTTGCTGCTATGATTAGACTGCTGCTGTTGCTGTTGATGCTACTACGAAAGCTGTTGTTGCTGGTGATGCTGCTGTCGATGCTGTACTATGCTGCTGCAGTTATTGCTGCTGGATTATTGTTGCTGCTGCTGCTGTTACTACTAATATAACTTAACTTCGTCTGCCGCTGAGACGACCAGCACTTGTTCAATACGCCGCAGAGTAGAACAATAAAGGTTTAGAGGTTTTGAACAAGTAGGGTTTGAACAGCGTATCATCATCATGGCACACAGGTGTAACCCAAAAATGCTCCATTCTTCTTCTAAGTCAAATTTGAGTCCGGAGAAGCTCAGCACAGTGTACACTGTACAGGCTCTGAAGCCCCGCGAGGATCCTGAAATACTTTAGGTAGATTTTTAACTCTAGAATTTGCTCGGGCAGCGCCACTATGATACTCTTTTCGATTTCCAACAGCCAAGATATTTTTTACGCGCGCAACAACAATCCACACGGGCGTACCCAGAGATCAGGAAGAATTACTTAGTCTATCCTTCTTCTTCTTCTTCTTCTCTTCCACCTTGTACGTCATCGAAGTGTAAGGGGGGGGGGGGGAGATGTAATGTACGTTGATGAGCTCTGTCAAGAGCACTATTAAGACTGATGTTCATTTCTGTAAGGCTGTTCTTAATGCCATCACTCCATCTTTTCCGAGGTCTTCCACTCGCTTTATACCCGTTGTAACGTTTTAGTGTGGCTCGCTG